GTTTCCTCTGGGTGAAAAGGTGTGGAATTTCATGTTTTACTGTGGATATAGTAATTTTTTTTAAAAGGAGGGTACTGTTAAGGCTTCCCCCACTTATTTTGTGTTTTCCAGTACCTGTAAGATATGATACTTTAAAATCTTAAGCTTTCTACTTATTCTGGGTTTTTAAATTACAAATTAAGCACATCACATTGCAAAGAGGAAGTTCTCTGATAGCAAAACGTGCTTTACTCCCAGCCATCTGACAAAGATTCTCTCCCTGACCAAACTCCAGGCTCTTTCCTGTCGTCCTCTTCTCCCCAAGGACTCAACTTTGGTCCACAGAAACTTGACGAGGGCTTCCCTGGTGGCTCAGTGGTTAAGAATCCGACTGCCAATGCAGGGGACACGGGTTCGATCCCTGGTCTGGGAAGATCCCACATGCCGCGGAGTAACTAAGCCCGTGTGCCACAGCTCTTGAGCCCACGTGCCACAACTACTGAAGCCCGCGCGCCTAGAGCCCGTGCTCCGCAACAAGAGAAGCCAACGCAATGAGAAGCCCGCGCACCGCAACGAAGAGCAGCCCCCGCTCGCCACAGCTAGAGAAAGCCCACATGCAGCAACGAAGACCCAATGCAGCCAAAAATAAATAAAAATAAAATAAATGCATTTAAAGCACTAACAAGATTTCTAATAGCTCCAGGCCGCAACCCTGGGATGACTCTAGCTCTTTACAGTGGCTATTTATGAAAACTGAAGGCTGCCAAAATAACTTACTGTTTGTTCCAGCCAACACTTGAAGACAGGGCCCCTGTCTCCCAGCCCAGAGCGAGGGGTGTGGGAGGGTAGGAGTTAAACGCCAGTTAACAAATCCAAAGGGGTTTCAAATGGACCAACCCCCCGCTTCCCGCTTTTCGTAATTTTTCACTTCCCCGACCCTACTGAGGCCCCGCTCACTCCGCTCCTTATTCCTTCATTCTCCCTTTAATATGCCCAGTCACCTCTACAGATCGAAGTTTAGATGAGTCCACGCTTGACTCTGTCCCACTGCAATAGTATATTACTGATTAAAATCTGTCCTTTCCCCTTTAGTGCCAGCTTTATCTTTGACACATCCCTCCAGCACTTCACAGCTTATCGGATAAAACAAACTACTTAAACAGGAGCAAGAGGCCGCGCAGCGTCAGTGTGGAGTTGGGCGCCGACGGCTCCAGGGCTGCGGGCGTGGACTCCGGCTGGCCCGCTCCCGCGGCACCTTGCCCCGCCGGCCCACATCCCCCTCCTCCCTGCCCTTCGCCGCGCCTGCCCAGGCCTGCGGCAACCACGCAGGACCACGGGGACACTCCGGCAGCCCCAGGCCGCACCTTTGGGAAAGATGAGCTGTGAGGCGTCCTCCTCTACGTCGCCAGCCCGCGGATCACTGCCACCGGCCGCCATCGTCTCGCCGCGCACCGCAGCCCACACCGCCGGAAGCGGAAGCGCCGAGCCGCGGCCAGGAAGGGCCGTGGTCTTGGAGACGGGGCGGGGCTCCACTGGGGATGGGCGGGTCACAGTGGTGGGCGGGGCCTCGGTGGGTGGGCGGGACCCCGACGGGGCGGGCGGGGCCGAGGGGCCTTGCAGCGTCCTTGAGCTTCCCTTAAGGAAGCGGAGACAGGCCAGAGCCGCGAGGTCGCGGGGGTTCCCGGAGGGCCGAGGGGCATCTTTCGCTGGTCGCTTCCGGAGAAACCGTCCTTCTCTTCTCCAGTACGCCCTTCGCCGCGCGTCGTGGAGACTGGTCACTTGGCCTTTCTGAGCCTCAGCTAACTCACCGGTGAAGTGTGGATGAGGATACCTGCTTCGCAGGGCGTAGGGAAGGATTAGATGAGATGCAGTAACGCGCTGACCGACCCAAGGAACTGTCGTTGATGGGAAGCTGGGTAGGTGACTCCGAAAACATACAGTGTAATTTCTTACAATGCCTTAAGCATTTAAAATGTTTGATTTGTAGTGGGACTTTTCCAATACCTCTCAACATGTGGCTAGTGATATTGAGAGGCCTGTTGGAACATTTGGATGATACTTAGAAAAGTAAGCAGGGGCTTTCCTGGTGGCGCAGTGGTTAAGAATCCGCCTGACAATGCAGGGGACACGGGTTCAATCCCTGGGATCCCTGGTCCGGGAAGATCCCACATGCCGCGGAGCAACTAAGCCCGTGCGCCACAACTACTGAGCCTGCGCTCTAGAGGCCATGAGCCACAACTACTGAGCCCACGTGCCACAACTACTGAAGCCCGCGTGCCTAGAGCCCATGCTCCGCAAGAAGAGAAGCCACCCCAGCGAGAAGCCCCGCACACCCGCAACGAAGAGTAGACCCTGCTCGCTGCAACTAGAGAAAGTCCGCCGGCAGCAACGAAGACCGAATGCAGCCAAAAATAAATAAATAAATTAATTAATTTTTTTAAAAAGAGGGGCTTCCCTGGTGGCGCAGTGGTTGAGAGTCCGCCTGCCGATGCAGGGGACACGGGTTCGTGCCCCGGTCTGGGAGGATCCCACATGCCGCGGAGCGGCTGGGCCCGTGGGCCATGGCCGCTGAGCCTGTGCGTCCAGAGCCTGTGCTCCGCAACAGGAGAGGCCACAACAGTGAGAGGCCCGCGAACCGCAAAAAAAAAAAGATAAGTAAGCAAATGAAAAAGTTTCCAACTTGAGAGAAAACAGATGGCTGTACAATGAAGGAAATAATCACAGTGCACTACTTGGCTCCGGAGTGAACCACGTTTAGGTATCATGTGAACTCTGTTAACAGAAAATGAATGAGGATATTACCAGACGAGAATATGTACCTGTATTCCTTTGATTTAAAATATAATTTTCACAAAGTTAATTTGCCTTGTATCTGTATTTCCAGAAGAAATGTATCCGGTGAATTAATGGCAGGTTATATAGTATTGTTAGAGCTTATTACCGCCTTGAAGGGCTTTCCTACACAGTTCATTACAGCTGTGGACCGATGTCCCGAGGAGTCTGGGGACGTGCAGCAGCTGGGTGTGGGAAATGGTCCTGAACTCAGCGTAGGCCCCTTTCTCTCATCTATCCATCCAACAGGGCTTCACAGAGCAACTACTACTTACTGGACTTACCATGGGCTGCCCCCAGGGCTAGCCGGATACCCAACACACACAGCAGGAGAGAAGTCAACAGGTGAAGAGAGAGGAAAGGAGAATAACAAATAACACATAGTGATGTTTCATAGGTTGGTTTGTCTACATTTTCATTCAGGAAAACCATCATAAATACTTAAGTGCAAAGCCCTGAGGTTAAAAAGATGAATCAGTCCTAGAGCTGTCCCCAAAAGGAGCTAAGAGCAGTTGATGCAAGATCTGGACTTATCTTCCATCATAAAAGACAGAAAGTGGCAAGGGGTATGAGAGATATGGAAGGATACAGAGAAAGAGGTCATTATGCTCCTCAAGAGCGACTATGGTTCTTTATACTGTATGGGCTCAGGGTCAAGTTCTTCAACCAGCCCAGCGAGTGCCTTTCAAAGGCAGATATTCAAGCCAAGGTCACAGACCCTAGATTGATCTGGAAGCAGCTTTACAGCACTTCCTCCACCCTCAGTCTCACAAGAACCACCGATCTCTGACCACATGGCTTAGTTCACGTTTCAGACAACAGAATGAGTTTAAAATGGCAAATTTTGTGTTATATATATTTTACCACCACCAAAAACAAACAAAAAAAATGGAATTCCATGCTGTTTAACTGCAAATATGGAATACTAATCTCTAGAACTATAATTTCTCTTGAAGGAACAGAATTCCTCTCACACACCCCAGAGTTATTACCAAAGTCTGTGTTTAACCAGTTGTTGTGATCTATTTCCAAAATTATCATCTAACCCTGACAGCGTATACCTGTGGCCAAGTTGTAAGGGCTTCAGAACTGGGTATGTTAAAAAAAAAAATTTACGGGCTTCCCTGGTGGCGCAGTGGTTGAGAGTCCGCCTGCCGATGCAGGGGACGCGGGTTCGTGCCCTGGTCCGGGAAGATCCCACATGCCGCGGAGTGGCTGGGCCCGTGAGCCATGGCCGCTGAGCCTGCGCGTCCGGAGCCTGTGCTCCGCAACGGGAGAGGCCACAACGGTGAGAGGCCCGCGTACCGCAAAAAAAAAAAAAAAAAATTTACATCCTTGCAAATAAAAATTTAAACCAAGACTGACAATATCAGCATATGGATGTTTGTAAGGTTTGAAAAATTATTCCTTGCCATTTTCTCCAAACGCACCTCATCCTTTCTGGGCCATCCAAAAGCAAGAAACATTTTCCTTTAGGTCAGACCACACCAACGTCCCAGGGTCTTTGTTTGGGTTAACCTCACCAAATGACATCTTAAATTTGAGCATCCCCTCCACCCCCGAGTTCAGGTTGTAGCTTTCTGGGCAAGGTCAGTTTCACTGGAGAACCTAATGAGAACTATGAACCTTCTTTCTAGAAAAATCCAAATTTTAAAGGGTTCACAAACCTTAGTTCAGAAAAGTTGGCTCAAAAAAACCAATGGCATTTTTATATAATGGCGTTACATAAAAAATAATAAATAAAAGTGCAAGGTTATTGGGTATCATGAACACCACACAAAAACATGCAGGCTGAATAAATATGATCTGGTTGGCTGTCTTTAAAAATAAAATGACTAGGGGCTTCCCTGGTGGCACAGTGGTTGGGACTCTGCCTGCCAGTGCAGGGGACACGGGTTCCAGCCCTGGTCCGGGGGGATCCCACGTGCCGCGGAGCAACTAAGCCTGGGCGCCACACCTACTGAGCCTGCGCTCTGAAGCCCGCGTCCACAAGTGCTGAGGCCCACGCTCCTGGAGCCTGTGCTCCGCAACGGGAGAAGCCACCGCAATGAGAAGCCCGCGTGCTGCAACTAGAGAAAAGCCCTCGCGCAGCAATGAAGACCCAATGCAGCCAAAAATAAATAAAATTTAAAAAAAATTTTTTAAATGACTATTACTACTATTCAAAAAAAAAGAGGCAAGACAAAGAACAATTTTTACCCATTATGATTTATTCTCTACAATACTTTGTTAAAGAGTTCAATGATTTGCACTCAGAAGTTATATAGCCAAGAGGCAACCAAGTGTAATACAAAGAATTGGTCTAAAGTCTTTGCACTGAAGGCCATACAAAGTCTCTTGCTTCAGGGAAATAAGAATGAAAATAAACAAAAAGAACAAATAGCTCCCTAGGCTCCAGAATCTCAATAGAAAATAACATCAACAGTTAGTGAAATTTTAGGTGTTAACATATCATGGAAAACATCTTGTGCAAATATTAAAATTAACACCCAGGACTTTTGTACAGATGATATTTATTATAAACAATAAAATATATGTAATGTCTCAACTACAAACCTTTCATGTTGAAAGGGTCTCTAACATGAGTTGCTTTTTAATATCATGAAGCGAAAAAGTTTAAGAACCTCACAGTGGAAACAATCCAACACCGACGAACTCTAGTGATCAGACATTCTCTTTTAGTTAATGGAGAACAAGGACAATTCGAAATTACAGAGAATGTCCTAGCTGTGGGTATTATGAGACAAGCCAACCTTCCAGACCAAAAGGCACTCACAGCTAGGGATGAAACGAACTCCGAACCAAACCAGCCAAGGTGGAGCTGGTTCCTTGAAAACAGTGGTTACTGTTCAGCTTGAGCAGCCCAAGGACGAAGGAAACACCGAGCAGAAAAACCTTCCCTTCTCTTCAAACCCACCACTCCCACTACGCGGACTGGCCGCCCTCATCACTGCTGTGGTCAAGCACGTGGAAGGCAGGTCAGTTCCAGTTCGGAGCTGTCATCTCCCTACGCAAAGCTGCCACGTGGATGATCCAGACTTAGTATTTTTCCTGAGAGCCACCTGCCATACATCTTCAGGAGGTGACCTTGACCGTATACTTCCAGGCCACTTCCTGACTAGGCTCCATTCGGGACAGACACTGACAGTGCCATTCCTCACGGGGCCAAACAGTTTTCCTCGGTCGACTCCTGAGTCCCCTCGCCAAGGCAAGAGGACCTCGAGCATCTCCACTGCTGGGCCTGGATGGGGGCGTGAGGGAATGTGCAGGGAGTCAGGCTTCTTCACTCCAGAAAGTGAAGAGAGCCCACGGAGCCCTCGTCAGTGTGGCGCTGGGCTTCAGGAGCCCCAATTCTTGTGCACTGATTTCCGCCCCCCCCCCCATTTCCTGGGTTTTAAAATCTTCTGTTCATTTTCTTAAATGGCAGGTATCCTACCCCACCCTCAATAAAATAAAAAACATACTATACGTTGGGGAAGACAAATAGGGCAACATTTCTACGAGAAAAAATAGGCTTGAAAGAGCATGGCACTGAAAATGCTTGCATGACCAGTCTCACTGAGCGTGCTCAGGGGTGAAAGTTTAGCACCATTTTTTTTGCTTTTTTTAAACTTTAGAAATTAAACACAACTTTCAACATAGAAGACTTGAACAGGAATGAGTGTAGCCCTATGTATCAATACTGTTGTACAAATTGGAGGTGGGCGGTTTAGTCCAGAGCTGCTGACCACCCTGACATCGATCCATGGCACCTAAGAGTAACTGCCGTCACATTTATTTGCAACAAGACATTTATTATTCTCAGCAGCAGGAAATCACGAAACAATCCCTTCCTCTTTGGGAGCCTGTTTTCACGAACACCGCGAGGGGAAGGCGGCGGCGTGCAGGAGCCCAGCCCGCGCATCCAGACGTCAGCCGGCGCTTCCCTTGCCCGTTCCACACCCTCGCCAACAGCAGAGGACGGTGCCGAGCTCACCTGCTCACCCTTACCCATCTCTTCAAGAAACGAGACAACTATGCCTAGAATGGCACGTGTGTCGTTCCTCAGATTGTGCCTCTGCTCCCCCTCCCCCGTTCCTGGCAGAAGCAAACCCCAAAGACCCTCTGACTTGAACATCTGCCCATTTTCGGAAAGCCACACCACTACCACATAAACATTAAAAATAAATTAAATCAAGACATTGTGTTCACTGGGTTGACACCCAATCCGCGTCAAGAGTTCTCTAAACACGTTGCTGAAAACCAGTGTATCACCCGTAGGGTCCTTTCTTCCAAGTGGCCACCTCTTCCTGTGAATCATTTCAGCAGTGCCTCTGTGACCATGTTTTCAAAGCGTCTTCCAAGTCCCCAGCTTCTATGAACTTTGCCACCATATGAGTGAAGAACAGGCAAGAGGGAGGAGAAACTTGCTGACAGGTATTTGGAATCAGCAACAACGAGAAAGGGAAATATGCCACATGAGAGTATGAATGACCTAGAATAAAATGAGCTATTTGGAACTCTGCCATGGTGGGGTGAAGATTCCCGGCATGTTAGGCAAGATAAAGATTCACCTTGTTTAATGACACAGCTTTGTTCTAAAGTCCTGTAAGGACTGTAACAGCAACAGTTTTCCCACTTCTACAGGCAAACTAGAAAAAGGAACTCCTCTGCTTAAAGGTCTCTCAGGATGTTTGCCTGAACAGAAAAACAGCTTAGAGACCCTGGATTCTCTCCTGTGCCGACGTGCCCTTCTAGAGCCCGACCCAAGTGCTTGTCTGAACACCTCCGCCCTCTGAGAACCTAGATCCAGCTATAGGCACTGCCACCAGTAGAGGAGTGAGGTAGCCGGGTGGTAAGGAAGAGGTCTCTCCCTCGACACTGCACGCAGCGATGCCGTCAGGACCTCCCGCGGGCATCCCAGTCCATTCCTCTGCAGGCTACACCACAGCGCTCTGTTCAATACCAGGAGACTCAATGCAGGAAGAGTGCCAGAAAATCCAACTGATAGTGGGATGAGAATTAAAACCTTTGAGGCTAACTGAGCAATGAGATCTGCAACGCCATCCAAAGGGCTTCCGATCTTGAGGTGGGTCTCTGTCCAGGAGCCGCAAACGACTCGTGGTGCCCACGTTCGACCCTAACATGGCGTCCACTTACGAAGCATGGAGGTTGAGATCAACTCGTGGTACGCTATACGCTGGAAGTTTAAAAAAAGGAATTTAAAACAACCTAAAAACGTTTCTTGTTGGTCTCCGTTGCCCAGACTGCCAGGGGGAATACACCTACTCGATCTGGGGAGGCTGCAGGGGTGTGTGTGGGCTAAGCCTTCATGGACCATCAATTCCAGCTTCCACTGAGTGGCCAACACACGGGCAGCAAATCACCAGCGGCACCTGCAGCCAAGGTCTTCTGAACCCACACGGAATTCTCACTAGTCATGGAGGAGCCCCAATCCAACGGAACCCCATACTGAGGAAAGGCTGAGATAAGGCTTGGGCCCCTCAAGTTCTGTTTCATTCGATGTAACCCCGCCCCCCTCAGTCAGCTGGAGGCAGACTTGGCAACGGAAGCTAGCATCATAAAATGGTGCAGTAATAAAAGTAACTGGACCAGGAAGAGGAGGCATCTGCTCCAATGATGTCATAGCCATTGGTGGCCACGGGGGGGTGGGACTGGTCATGCAGCCGTGTGTCAGGAGTAATGATTGTAGAGGGGCGGGGCATGAAGAGCGCCATTCTGGAAACAGTGCTGTCGAGAAGCAATATATTCTGCATAACTGATTGTCACCTTCTCACTTCGGTACCTGTGTAAGGAAACAGGAAAGGGTATTAGGAACCCCAGACACTTCATTTGGTAGTCACGCGGCAGAGAAAACCAAAAGCTTATCCCACATTTTGAAAGAATAAAATGGAAGACCAAGAGCAATCTTACTTACAGAGAATGAAAGACGACAGCACAAGAGAACATGTTGTTATTACAAATGAACGAGATGGAAAAGCACACTCACAATTCACCCCTGAGAATCTGTTTTCTGCACATCCCACCTTTAAACACTTCATATGCTTATCACCAGGCTGCGCTTAGGCAATCTGCTACTAGGGTCTGGAGGAAGAATTTCAAGGTCAAATTACACGGGTAGCAGACTGGAAGATGGCTGCACCAATGCCCAGTGTAAAACGCATATCTACTTTCAGGTTAAAATGTGATAAATTTGACAGAAATGCAACCTCAACTTGCAGAAAAGCAACAAACAAGTTATTTATAAACTAAAAGGGGCACAGATACCTAATTCTGGGTCAAATTCTGACGAAGCAGGTTAAAAGATCCTGGGGCTATAGAGGATGGGTCTCACTTTCCAGATGAATATGCCATATCATATCACAGGGTCATCAGAACAGAATTCATAGCACTTTGGCCTTGCTCTGGAAAGAGCCATGAGTCAGGATGCGAAGCATGGGGTGTTACGAACCTATGGAGCCTACTACAGACCACAGGAGCTGGGTGTGACAATCCTTACCCAGAGCCATCTCTTTCCCACTGTAACCACTCCTCCACTGCAAGGTGATTATTCCTGAATTTTGACAGGGAAATGGCTGTTCAAATAAATTATAATAATAATGATAATAATAATGCTTTGTATTTGAAGATTTTTCTCTTTTTTGGAATCCAAAGCATTTCAAAAACACGGGGTTCTCTTCCAAATAGACCTGTGAGGTTACGATATTGATTATTCAGCATTTCACGGATGAACGGGCCAACGGAGGTCCACAGAAACCCCACAGAAGCTAAATCTTTCAGTGCTTCCGAGTTCAGTAGGGATGGGAAGAGGACTGACATCTACTGACCACCTACTACAATGTTGCCTGGCCCTGAACTAGAACTTCTTCATACATTACCTTACCACACCCTGAAACGACCCCAAGGCATTATCATTCACCTCTTACAGACAGGAAATTTTTTTTTTTCTGCTCTGAGAGGTGGAAAAACTGGCCCAGGTCACACAGCTAGGAAGTGGTGGAGCTGGGATTCAGAGTCCAGTCCATGCATATTTTCCTACACTAGGCAGCCTCCCCGTAGAAGTATTAGCTGCAAACAGGCAGAGGCGTTTCCTTAGAACTATTCCATCAACAGGCCACCTGACTACATGTGATGACTTCAACTGACCCTAGACTTCTGTACTGAGAGCCTTTTCTCCTGCCTTCAGCCTTCCCGCTCAGCCTCCCAGCAAGTGGGTCTGACAAAGACACCCACGACCTGCTCAGCGGCTACTCTGCTCCCACTGTGCTAGCAGCTTAGCCGTGGACACGCCCAGGATGCTGGGGAGTCTCTGCCTTTGCTGCCACTGCTTCCTCAGAGCTTCAACCTCACCCATACCTCTTCGGTTTAGAGACATTAACAGAGAAAATTTTTCTCTTCCCCTGTCTGTCAAAAGTATCCTCCATCCAACCCCAAGTGAATTAAAACGACAAGGAAAATAAGACAGTGGCTTACCTGGTGAGTTTGATGGTTTTTCTGAATTCACTGGTAATTGGAGCCTTAAAGCCACCTTTCCTGAGCAAGGAATCTATCGTCTGGATCTGATCCCAGTCTGAGGAGAAGGCAGGCACACTGAGGTCAGCGCACAGCGACACAAGAACGGGCCGTGCTCTGACACCACAGTGACAGAACAGAAGCAGCCCGGTCTGCTGCGGGCGGAGCAAGCCTGGGCACTGCCCCACGTCCCTGGAGCCCCGTCTGCCTCACTGGCGGTCCAAGGAGAATCCGAGATGTGAGATGACGCCCGACACACGTCACTAACGGCTGTCCCCAGACCCCCTGCTTCTGAGTCTTTCCTGTCAGATACGATCCCAGTATAACTATCTAGGAGCAAACATGGTCCCAGCGTAGACCAGCCTGTAGGCCTAGTGCTGTAACCAGGGCTGTTCTGGGAGAAGAGAGAATTCATACTCTGCGCTTGTATTCCTTCGTGTGGCCTTCCTTCGTTTCGATGATTTCTAGGAGTCGTTTTCTACTACAGAGACTTGACAGCAGGAAGGAAACTATTCCTTTGGGAAGGCTGGGAAGGTGTTCACACGTCTACTGCTGTGTTGTTCTTGAAACATTTTCAACAGATATAACCAAGTATATCGAATTGAAAACCAAAGAGAACCCCCTAAATTACTGCAGTAGGTGCCTTGATTTTTAAATTTTCCCAACCAGTTTTCAAACGGCAAAAGTGCTTGATTATTTACCTACATTATCATCACATCTCACTCTTAGGAAGTAACTCCTGGTGTGCCTCCTTGGACAGAAATGCCAGATTTATGATCTCAATGAAGCGGTTAAAAGGCGTCCTCCTTTTTATGCCATATCCTCACTGCTTTTGAAAAAGTTTAAACACAACGACGATGGGAACCAACAAGGCAAGCCCTCTCCACCTAATCAGTTCACTGATACACTGAACCGGATATTTTTCTCTATGCCAGGTTCACACCTAACAGATACATATTATTTTCAAAACACAGACCAGTTCCAAGAAAGAAAGAAAACTGGGTCATACACCAGACTGCACGAGCAGCATTTTAAGGTATTCTTCTAACTATGCTTTGAAAGAGAAAACCTGCCTGACCCATTTCCTACCTTTCATGTCCCACTGTAAGAACTAAGTACCTACTGAGTTCTTTCAAAACACAGGAGAGATTATGTTCTGCATTCTTCCAATTATCACACTGTGTAGTAGCTCACGACCAGAAGGTCAAAACCCACTAATACGGGCAACCTCCCTTTACAATGAACTCCAGAATATGACCAAGTTGACTGCTGGAATTTCCCTACAGTTAACCACTGCAGTTTTGGGGGCCCAAGAAATACCACTACTCACTGAAAGTACGTGAAACGAGCAGCTGGGCGCGGGAAGTCTTTACCCCTATTCTCTTCCCAGCTCCTGCATCTTTGGGGGGGTTTCTCGTTCTTTAAGAACTTGATAGATATGGGGAGAGGAAGAAAGGCACTCATCCTTAGTCACAGTTAGGCTGAAAGGCAACACACTCCACTCTCCTGCCCTTTACTTGGCAGCACTGTGAACTGTATCATTCACGGAAATTCCATGTGTCCAACTCACCTTGTTCCTTTGCGACCTCAGGTAAATATGTGGCTGTACGTTTGACGCCTTTTTCATTGACGAATTCAATTCGAATCCCATGGACCCCAACCTACAAAAACACACAACCGGTAAATGACATTTACTCACTCTAATGGAACTTCAATTATCCTCATATAAATCGACACTGCCCCCTGACCAGCTTGACCCAGGGCTGAGAAAAGGGGAGGCTCTTGCCTTTCATGACTTACTCTCTCTCTCAGGCATGGAAGCCAAAGAAACTGCTGCTTTAGGGAAAGTGAGAGTCTACGTGCAGCCACCTCTCTGAGAGTACGGAGGCTATAGAAATAAATTCTCTCAGCAGTTCATCCAAAGATCTTGAATATTCCACCTTTAATCTACTCCATTAAGAGAACATGCCACAGGGTTTTGATCTGGGCTCCTGACTCTGCACACATGGCTCCTGATAAGGGCTTACCACAAAGAATCAGGAATGTTCTCCTTTATCCCCATTCCTATTTCTTATTAGACATGGGAAAAGGATGTGCAACAGAGTAGACTGGGAAGAATGGGAGAAGAAAGCCTTCCCATTTCTTCCTACTTCTGATACCGCAGCACCTTTTCTGTCACCCAAGTTGCCTGCAATTCCTCCCAAGCTCAGCTTTCACATCCTCAGACCCTCGCTCAATGAAGGAGACACGTTACCATGTACTAACCCGAACCCAAATGCAACGAGAGACGCAGAGTTCCAAATGCGGCTGCTCTCACCTCCCAGTCCAGGTAATCACCGGCATCCTCAAAGTTAGTAAGGAGGGAGACAGAGCAGAAAAGCTTAGGCAGCTCCTCTCGGGTCAGGGGGGGGAATCGGCTGTCCTTAAGTGCACTGGAGGGGACAGAAAACACAAGTGAGGCTGCTCCAGGGTTGGGAGCCAACATCGTGTGCCGAACGCTTATGGCTCTTGAGCTCTGCAGAAAACATCCACTATCCATCAGCCCGAGCATGCTGCAAACAACCTGACGCCACTAACTGCCTACACTTGGACTGGAAGTGACTCACCGGATTAATTCCTACATTTCCTGATTATCCAAAAGAGAACACTCGGACTTCACCACTCAGAAGAGACAGGCAGTTTTTTTTCCCTTCTTGCCAATCATCTACCAGTCTTACGTGCGGCTGCCATTACCTGGTTAGCGTGTATTCCCTGAGTCCTGAATGAAGATTCATGGCTGAGAAGGTCCCAATGCAGCCACGAAGCCGCTTGTCCCGCCCCGTCTTCCACGTCACAAAGAGCGGACTGAAAGAGCAAGCACACATCAATCAGGGAAGAAGAAAACCTCGGCTCTATCCCCGTTCATCTGTTCTTCCCCTCAAGGATGGTTTCCTGACGCGGGCTGTCTGAAAGGCTCTGCCCTCTCTGCCCTCTCCGAGCCGCGCAGCCCCAGGGTGTAAATGGAGAGGAAATCGCCACGAGGCACGAGAAGAAAGGCCCCTGCTCACAGCCTCACTCCACTCTACCACCACGTGGACGTGCCGTTTTCTTCTTCCTCTGCCCAGGACTCAACTCTTTCTTTCTTCTTCTAGTTCTCCATGTCTTTCTCCTCGTTTACTCTCTTTTCAGGTGTCTATGCTCCCAGTTCCACCTTCATGAAGACACACGGGGCCTGCACACCTTCTCCGCTCAACCCCACATCGTGCCCATCATTATTTCTGCCTCTCCTGCTCATAAATTCCAGAAAAAAAGAAAAAGTCTCCTCAAGAAAGCTTGTTCTTGGGGAATTCCGCGGCAGTCCAGGGGTTAGGACTCTGCGCTTTCACTGCCGAGGGCTCGGGTCCGATCCCTGGTGGGGAAACGAGGATCCCGCAAGCCAAGTGGCGCCGCTAAGATAAAATAAAAAGCTTATTCTTAGCAGAAGTTAACCACTTTCTAGGCCCAAGTCATGCTGCATTAGCCTACATCCGATTGACGCTGACAGATGTTTTAGGCAGAGGTTACAGGGCTGTCCCCTCTTCCTGAAATTCCTCCATAGTCCTATGCCCTTACCTCTTTGATTCTTGAGTTAACACTTCTGAAAAGCAACTTAAATTTTTTAAGTTATCTAACTTTGATCATTATTACAAAGCAGGATCTCCCACCTACCCATCTTTTCCTTCCAGGAAAACACCTGAACACCACCAGCCAAAGTTAATGTTCCAAAACCTGCTCAAAAACCCTTCGAGAATTCCACTGTCTCCACACCCTACACTGCTGCGGCCACCACCTACTCTTCCAAACCCATGTCCCTCTCCTGCAAGGGACACACCTGATCCCACTCAGATCAAGGCTTAGCCTCTCCACCGACTCAGTCAGGATTTTTCTGTTCACGGTATCGCACGGCAATACTTCCCTAAAGAGTGAGCACATTTTTCTCTGCATTTCTTCTCCTCTGACACAATCACAGGAGTAACTTCCTCTCCACCTCTGCCCAGACGGTGTGTGAACACTATTTAGCTTCTGTGTGTGATCTGCCAACTCAAGTCTTCCGAGAGCAAGGACTGTTTCTTCATACTCCTCCATTCCCTGCCCAGTGGGGCTATGCACCGCCTCAGTATGGCATTAACAGTCGAGGAATGATGATCAGTCAGTGAATGCTCTAAAAGCATCTCCTAAAAAAATAAAAATAAAAAAGCAGCAGTGCTCTTTAAAGCCACCTCAAAGCTGCTTCCAATTGAGAAAGAAAGCATTGGCATGAGCATCTTCACTTGACTTTACCCTTTACACATATTCCTTATTAAAGTCATTGACACCTCGAGGGGACTTGGGACAAATAACGGAGTCTTGAACTAAAAACAGTAAAGCAAATTCTGACATTCCTGGTGGGGTGCCGGCAGCCCCATGGGACTGACAATGAACCAAGTGAGGGGACCCTTGTTAAGAGCATCTCAGCTCCCACTAAATGAGCTCCTAGTCTCCCACCTGGCACCCAGACACTGGCAGGTCACTTGGGCTTCAACGGTGCTCGGGTCCACAATGGTGTGACTTCTCCACGTGAGAGGTTAAATGACCTACCCACTGCCATTTGAACCAACAGAAGACCAAGAACGAAACCCTCCTGATTCCCGGAACATTACTTTGACAAGCCAACCACTCCTGCAAACACAGCCTAGTACCCTTCCATTACTGAGCCCAATGAATGTTCTAGACATTGGCTGCACATTTCTCATCATCCTATTCCCAACAACCTTTGCCCAAATCATGTTAAGCTTTTTGTAAGTAGCAGACTCTCTCAAGAGAATGCCCCCGACAGAGGCGTCATGCCTTTCTCACCATCCCCGACACGCGACCGCTTTACTCACTAGGGGTCATTGGTGAATCTAGGAAGGCGTGGCTGTGGGAAGCCGTAGAGGTGACAGTAGAGGACGTCGAAGCAGTAGCAGCACATCTCTGCGGTCACCACCAGATTCTTGGTGGTGCTGGCAGTTCCATTGGGCCTGGGGAGAGGGCTCAGCGCTCCCGATGCGGGGTTCATCCGTGTGATGGGAGGGTTTCCAGGTCCCAGAGTTAAGTCCGACACGTTCTCGCGACCACCGCCGCCGTCCACATGCTGGTGGTTCTGAAGAGGCCCCGCGCTGGAGCCGGGGACGGCTGTGGACTGGCTCCCGTGACCGTGCGTCCCACCTGCAGACAGCTTAGGCTTCTTAACCCCACAACAGCCTGCTGCCAGCTTGGGCTCCAGTGGGGGGACGCAGCGTCTTTTTCCCATCCTGAACCAGTGCTTGAGGTCTGGAATGCTGCGGAACCCTAACCCAGAAGAGAACATGCAAGCATTAACTCAAATGGTTAGCCGCAAGGAGAACACAAAATTCAAAGAGAAAGGGTCTCCATGGAGAGGGTAGGAGCCATCAAATTCTTTCTTGCCCAGGTCACATTGGTTGCAAAGGGTGGCAGACCAGTGGGCTAGAAGAGACCCTGAGTTCCAGACCGAAGGCGCCTAACCTCTTCCTCAGGGGGAGCTGTTTTCCATTTTCCATAAAGGTTATCATCGCCACGGACGGAGGCAGGCCACAAGCAGCTCCCTCTTGCCCAGGACTCCCTGGGCAGAAAGAAGGGTGGGGTGGCAGCCAGCGTGCAGCTGAACGGGGACGCTTCAAGACCGACTGGAAGACTGCACTTGACCTGTCAGGTGCCTCATAAGGACGCTTTCTCTACCTTTTTAGAGGCTCCAAACTGAACCACCCTATTTTTAAAGAACCCCAGAGAAACTTTCATGCTTTTCCTTGTTTTTTTTTGGCGGTACGCGGGCCTCTCACTGCTGCGGCCTCTCCCGTTGCGGAGCACAGGCTCCGGACGCGCAGGCTCAGCGGCCGTGGCTCACGGGCCCAGCCGCTCCGCGTCATGTGGGATCTTCCCGGACCGGGGCACGAACCCGCGTCCCCTGCATCGGCAGGCGGACGCTCAACCACTGCGCCACCAGGGAAGCCCGGCTTTTCCTTGTTAACCACATCCTTTCCGCATTTTCCTCATCACTAACCTCAATTTCTCTGTGTAATTTTAGCCCCGGACCTCTGTGAAGATGAAAGGCAGCAGCTGTTCTGACGAGAGCACGCTTTCTAACACCGGGCTCCCCTCCCACCTTTCCGTCCTCACAGCTGTCCTGCGCAGTCTTACTCATTTTCTTTGGTTCTCCTCTGAACTCACTCCAAGTTCTACACTTTTGTCCTTTCAAGACCCCATTCAAAAAAAAGCTACAACCTAGCAGAAACCTTTATTCACACAAATGACCCAAGCTTCACAGCCCTTTTGTGAGGTAGCCATTTCTGCCCTGTCATAGCAAGGCAGACAGATGCAAAGCCATCAGCTTAACCAAATGTGGCATCAGATGGCCCAGGAAACCAGAGAGCCCCAACTGAGTCAGGGGAGGAAGGAATCTTTTTCCACTAAATTCTTTTTCTGAAAAAGCCTAAGGTGAAGATATATAGTTATAACATGATCAAGATCCTTTCTGTTGTCTGTGTCTGTAAACAGCAGGCTCAGGAAAAGCGATCCTAGTTATTTCAATGTTGATAATACCAAAGTTTGTAAAATTCTGCTGACTTGAGAAAAGTACACTTTGTTTTTCCTCAAGTCATTACCTGTTAGTTGTAGCCCTCCCACTCAAAAAAATATATATAATCCCTACCTAAAATTTTCCCTGTGGTTTCAACACGTAGCACACAATTGCCTTTTAGGCACTGCCCTACTGTGTAGTATTTTGATTGTAAATTCTACAACCTTCTACATCAAATTAGATATGCAAGTACCCGTTTGCAATGCCGTAATTTCTACAAAAACAACCTGCCACTTTAGGTTGAATGAGATACAAAAATTTCACAAATATTGCTTATGTTCTTGATGTATGCTGACCCCTAACAAACACACATTTTTGTATCTAAGACAGTTCTTTGGAAGATGAAAGTTGTCTCTAGCAGAGGAATAACAGCTTGCGTGCTTCAATGTCTGGCCTGAAACAGGGGCTTCTTTTTGAGAAAGCCTCACGCACGTGATGCAGTAAAACCTCCAATGACTAGATTGTTTCTGAGCACGGATATCACTGCCTTGTTCGGACTGTTGAGAGAGGGAGAAGATCTCGGTTAAAAATGCTGCCTCCACGCAGTGGTTGAGAGTCCGCCTGCCGATGCAGGGGACATGGGTTCGTGCCCCGGTCTAGGAGAATCCCACAAGCTGCTGGGAGCCATGGCCGCTGAGCCGCTGAGCCTGCGCTTCCCGAGCCTGTGCTCTGCAGCGGGAGAGGCCACAACAGTGAGAGGCCCGCGTACGAAAAGAAAAAAAAAAAATGCTGCCTCCAGAGTCAAATGGCCTGCGTTCAAATCCTGATTCCTCCAGGATTAACCTCTCTATGCCTCAGTTCCCTCAAACTGGGAATAACAGGAGCACGTGCCTCATGGGGCTGTTAGGAGAACTGAGTTTAATATGTGTCAGCTGCTTCCATACAGCGTCTGGCATAGAGTCAGCTGCTCTTATCATCTGGGCTTATCGTCTGCTCCCACCAGGATGGAAACTTCCGGAAGGCCAGGACTTCCCTGGGCACTCAGGGCTTAGAGCACCGAACAGGTGCTCTTTAAACAGGATTTCACTGAATCCTCAAAACCACTCAGCAAGGAGGACAACGTTACCATCATTTTACAAAAGAGGAAACTTAGGTTTAATGAGCAAGATAAACTGCCCAAAGCCAGACTGCCGCTAAGTGGCAGAGTCAGGATTTGGACCACAATCCCTCTGTAAGACTCCAAAGCCTGGGTCTTCCCACCAAACCACAAAGAAGAATGAGGCCTGCCAATAATATCCATTGGATTCAGTCCCTTTCCTAAGGGCATGATTTAAAAAAAAGAAAAAAAATCAAGGGTATACTAAAAACTAAAAGAATAGTTTGCAAAATCTTGCCAACAAAAATGGAGCAGGGAAAAAAAAAAACCTAAGCCCAAAGCCAGTATCTCCGCCATCCCGCTGACAGTCATCAGTACCCCGCCACTGTCCCTTGACTCCACAAGGGATGGCACTGCCCTCTGAGCTCTTACCTGACTTTCCACCTTGCGCATAACTGTGTGCAGGGGGTTTAGGACACGTGTTGAATGAAGCAGAGGGACCATCTCTCGAGAGCTAGAGTTTTAACAGCACCAACAGGGCCCTGAGGCTCTGCCTCTAGAGAGTCCCAAAATTCAAAGAGGCAAAGAGGAGGGATAAAATAGGTTAAAAAAAGAAATCTTTCCTCATTCGCCTTACACCAAAGCACACCTGAACGAAGGGCGAAATGTCATGAGATAGTGGCAACTCAGGTGTTTCTCTGCAGGTGCTATCAGCTACCTGACTGTGAAACATCCTACAACAGAGCAATAGAAGGGATTTTCAAACCATGCCAAGGCAGGTGAGCTCAAGCCTAGGAAGGTTCTGCCTACACATCACGTACAATCACCGATCTGCAGTGGGGCATGATCACAACTGACACCAAGAGAATACATTTAACAATTCCCCCTCCCCAACTACGATTTGCAATCAGTAGAACACACCCAAATCTTGTGGTTCCTTAGGCCCGAGCTTTCTCTGGAGGCCACTAAGCAAACAATTCAATAGATATTCTCAGTTAGTGACCAAAGGCAGAGTTAGAGACCTTCTGCCTCAAAAATATATTAGAAGGCATTTCTTTAAAAATTTGTTCCATAGGGCTTCCCTGGTGGTGCAGTGGTTGAGAGTCCACCTGCTGATGCAGTGGACGCGGGTTCGTGCCCCGCTCCGGGAGGATCCTGCATGCCGCGGAGCGGCTGGGCCCGTGAGCCGTGGCCGCTGAGCCTGCGCGTCCGGAGCCTGTGCTCCGCGGTGGGAGAGGCCACAGCAGTGAGAGGCCCGCGTACCGCAAAAAAAAAAAAAAAAAAAAAATTTCCATAAATTTAAATCTATAGAAAATTTCAAACATATGCAGCCTACTTACTCCATCTCCCCACCTCCTACTGAATTTTTAAGGTTTGTTTTTAAAGGGACCAGTATTTTACCTATCTGTCAGCGTCAAGCAAACGTTAAGTGAACGACAGGAAAGACTGAAGGTGCTGGCAGTGAGTACTTGCACTTACCATATCAACCTCAACCTATCGAGTTCATCAAGTTCCTCTTTAAAGTGAGACTCTCCTAACCCCACTCCAACAAAGTGGGCATCTCACCACAGCTAAGTGTCCCAGACTCGGCTCCCAGGACTGTCCTACAACGACCAAAGACACATTCATTTCTCCAACCGCTCGGCTTCTGAGGGCACAGTGTGAGATCCCTCAGAGTAATAGCATTTCAATACAACAGACTAACCTGCTGTCTGACCGGCTAAAAACAAATACCCCAACGGCACAGTCTACCTCTTTTAGGACTGTGTGCATTTGTTCTCACTCTTCCCCCAAACCTCATAGAAACTACCAGCAATGGTATACTGATCATAGTAGGAGTAAATAAATGTTACTCCTGTCAAGCTGGTTCATCTGAAGTAACTGGAATCAGGCAAAAACCCTTGCTTTGTAAACACATATATCACTAAGACCCTTCGGAGCCTTCAGTTGGTTACTCTTTCAAAGCTAAACTCAAGGGCCACTTTAAGGGCCAATGGCAGTGATGTCATTTTCCTACTGTCTGTCCACTTTAGAACGAACAATGAAAAAGAACTAGTTAAAACTGGATTTCCACCAGATGGAGACAATACCCACACTTCCACAAAAAGCTGGAGGAAATAACAGGAATCACTGTTTTACCTCTTAAGACCGCCTAACCTAGCAAGTGTCAAATGAAGTAAAGTTCCTCTCAGTGTTGAAAAAGTCACCACACCCTTTACCTGACATGCAGTATTCAAGGGGTCCTGGCCTTCACGAGGGTGCACAACAAAGGCACCTCTCCGGCCCCCTCTGTGGGAAAGCTGAGCAGTGTGTTGTTGATCTGGGCCCAGTGGCCTACAAAGCCACTTAAATTCCAGCCAGCAATGAACTCACCAACACCTTTAGTCTCAGAGGCCGAGCCGCATTTGTGTTTTTTCTTTCGCAACACCTAACACAGTGCCTTGCACATGGTACACACACCAACAATCTTATCTACAGATCTCCCAGCAATTCCATTTAAGTTAGCCTTTCTAATAAAAAGAATATTTATGGCACAACCTGACTTTTAGATACTCTTGTTTCACTGTGAGGTGCTGACTGTTGAGTGTGTCAGAAGCTGAAAGTGACCAAAGTACAAGTATCTATTATTATCAACAATGTCAACTCAGGGAATTCCCTGGCAGTCCAGTGGTTAGGACCCGGCACTATCACTGCTGAGGCCTGGGTTCGATCCCTGGCTGGGGACCTAAGATCCCGCAAGCCTCGGGGTGTGGCCAAAAAAACCAAAACCAAAACCAAACCAAAACACAACATCAGCTCTACTCAGCCCAAACCAAGGAATGGTTTAATTCATAGCAAGGTGGAGAGCCAACGTGGACAATTCATTCTAAAAAACATGTCAAATATCCCCTACATTAACTTCTTGGTTTGGTTTATGGTGGTAGCTGGCTTCTTGGCTAAAACACAGTAACTGGTCAGTCCTAGACTTGGCCGCGGGTGCTGTTTAACTGTAGGTTGCTCAAGGCTTTCCTTCCAAAGGACACACCTAATTTCTAAACTGCACTTGAAAAGAATTTTCTTTTCTTTATCAAAGATGGGGCGCTTTAAGAGCTACCCAAGGGAGCATTATTTGTCTGGAGGGCAATTTACGATTTCAGGGGTTAATACACAACTATACTCCAATAAAAATTTTAAAAAAAGGAGTTAATACAAATGATGTCTCATAAATTGCTGATGTTATAAACATAAACAAGGTGTGGAGACCAGTACTGAGGGGAGGATGTGAGGACACCCTGACAGACGTGGCTGGCTGGGCAGGAGGGCCTTCCTCCCTTGCTAGGGGTCCCTTCCAAGGCTCCTAAGTCCACTGAAAACAACAAGCTGGTGCCTTCCCAGAGCAGCTCCCATCTTCGGAGGACACAGCCCAGGCTTTGGGGTCACTGTCTAGGCTCAAATCCCCAATCTGACTTACCAGGTACAAACTCAGGCAGGCTGTCACATCTCTGTGGACCTGGGCTCCTGCTACCACAAAGGGCTTAGCTGTGAGCAATTCACTAAGACATGAAAAGCATCTAGCACTTCTCTGGCACAGAACTACTACTCATTAAAGCATCTGCTATTACTAATACTAGGACTGCCTTTACCGACAGAAGTAGGGTTTGTTATATAAATAACATAGCTCTGAGTTCTTACAATTTCTAGAGGGATAAATGTCCTCATAATAAAATTCTATTAAGAACTACCATGTAGGCTCAAAGATATTATTTTTAAAAAATTTTTATTGGAGTATAGTTGATTTACAATGTCATGTTAGTTTCAGATGTAGAGCAAAGTGAATCAGTTATACATAGGCATATATCCACTCATTTTTTTTTAGCTTCTTTTCCCATGTAGGTCATTACAGAGCACTGAGTAGACTTCCCTGTGCTGTACAGTAGGTTCTTACTAGTTATCTGTTTTACATATAGTAGTGGGTACGTGTCCATCCCAATCTCCCAAGTTACCCCTCCCCCGCTTCTCCCCTGGTAACCGTAAGTTTGTGTTCTACAACCGTGACTCTACTTCTGTTTTGTAAATACATTAAAAGATCATATTATTAACATGGGGTTATTACTCTAATGACCTTGATGCTTTTCCTCTTTGGAGAGACATGCTTCTAATAAGTCATCCACTGTTTTTTTCATTGTGCGACGCCAGAAAATATAAGGAATATTGGGTTGAGAGTTGTGCACAGTTCTGTTCTACAAGGGTCCTCTTTTAAGCTTGCAGCCATACACTAAAAAGAAACTAAATTTGTTGTTGTTATTACAGATATCTTGATATATACTGAGTACTAACAGAACTACTGAGTCAAAGTAGTTAGATTTCCAACAATAAACAGATTAAAACATCTAGAAAAGCCTGGAGGTGGAAAAAAAAAGAGAGAGAGAGTCATCTTTTGAAGCCTCAAAACAGCCTATGCGGGGGCATGACCTTATAACATAGAAAATGGATTTGGAAGGTAGGCAAAAAGCAAAGAAAAAAGGGGTCTCTGTATTTTCTTCTGTTATTATTTACTGTCCGGATGTCTATTCAAACCAAGCTTTACGCAGAAGGGAACAGGCTGCTGTTTCCTTTGTGACACAGAGTTGAACTGAAATTCAATTTAATCATTATTTGAGCAGTGAAACGGCACCTGAGCTATAATTCTGGCCTACTTATTATGGAACAATTCCAAGAAACAGATGAAAGACCCACAAACATTCTGGTCATCATTTCAAATAATCATTTCTACACGAAAGCCCATCATACACACATAAACATCCAAAACATTTGCTGTGTGAAAATTTTCCCTGCGAAAAAGAGATCTACCTATACAATTGCTTTTAAAATTTACAGATTTAGAAAAATACACAGTACTATACACTTTCATGTCAACTTAGCTTAAGGATAAACATGACCACAAGGAGTCAGATGCTCTGTTTTCTTTTTAGATCCCCTCCCTTTACTCTGTGAGCTATGGCAGGGTGCCAGATCCTTCTAGGCCTTGGTTCTTTCATTTGTAAAATGAAAATATTTGTCCTCTGCCTTCCTCACAGAGTGGCTGTGAGCCTCCAGTAAGATGCGAAGCAATCTGGAAAACTCTCTTACAAGTGTTTGCATACCGTTATTAACACATTTGAGGGGAACGCAGCAGTAATAAAAATTTTTCCAGAACTTGGTTTACGTGTAGACTTTTAATTATTTTTAAGAAAACAGTATCACCCTAGCAGATTCAGGGCAAAATGTTCCATAAATCTCTGAAGATTATACCCATGTGGAAGACACCCAATAACTGACCTTGACAGGAACTGCATTAACCTACAAGTTATGATCTTTGTCTTTAAAAAATGCATAATTTGGGAAGCGGTGGGATGAGGACCTTATGTACGCGAAGGGTAAGGGTAATACTACACCACCATCTAGGTCACTCTAATGGGATTATGGAAAATAAATTTATCTTTACATATAAAGAGATCAAGTGGAAGGATTCATCAGCTTTAGGACACCCTCATGGAAGCAGAATAACAGAAGCGAACAAAGTAAACCTACATCCTAAAGTCCTAGCACAGGCCTAAAACGAAAAAAGAGAGCAAAAGCAACAAAATTCTAGTCTAAGTATGTCCAAGGTAATACTCACTGAAAGCAGAAAGTTTGTATTGCCAGGGGAACAGCTATAACAGAGGAGGGGAGCTATTTTGCCTCTGAAATGAATTTTCTTCCTTCCGATTCCATTCCTTCTTCCTGTACCTAAGATGGAAATGCAGGTGCAGTGAATGAACAAAATCAAGGCAGTGCCGGGGTAAGAGATGGTTTCTGAAAAACTACAACTCAACAGAGCAATTTCTAGAAAAAAAAAAAAAAGCTAAGGAAAAGGCTTTCTTTAATTCAAAACATTTCAAAATCTAAATATAAGGCAGTAAGGGCAACCCCATGCACAAAATCATCTCATCCCTGGTGCCATCACCAAGAAGGGAGGACGGGGGGATCAAAGGTTTTATTGAACCTGAACATAAAACACACATTAAAACTTCCTCCACCACTAATTTAGATCAAAACTTGTTCTCAGGCCAAGATACACCATTTAAGGTTCTCCACTGGCTTCAGAATACAAACAGATTCCCAAATCCTCTGCAAAGATGGTGCTGAAAGATTACTGGACAGCATGCCAGGGTCCTGAGGCCAGGCCATCTTGTTATCCCAGGTGGAGATGATAACTGTAGGTAAGAGTCACCCATCATACTCTTCGGCTGGCATAAATCTCTTCGTAATCTCTTCACCAACTCTCCCCACCCCCCCAGAAGTAGAGATGTGAGTTATTCCCAAAGATGTAAACAGGAGACTCCAGGCCCCACCCACTCTATCCTAGGAGAGGACAGTGAAAGAGGATAGGCCCAGAGGGATAAGGGTGAGGGAGTGTGGCAAAGTGAGGAGTTCAGATCAGGACAGCGGATGGAGGAGGGCGAGGAATGAAGGGCAAAGCTCACAGCCTGGGAAGCAGGGAGGCATAAAACCCACAAGAGTGTCAGGTGGAGGGATGGTGGAAACGGGGACTCTGGGTGGATAAGGAAAGACAGAATGAGGGAGGAGTTGGGAAGAAAGAGAAGAAGAAGAGGCGAAAGCGTGCGTGTGAAAGAGAGTTCAGCAAGGAAAGGGCGAGATACAGTGGGGAGAGGAGAGGCCAGAGTGGGGAGGGACCAAACAGGCAGAAAGAAAGGTGAATGGTAAGGAAAAGGGGGTGGAAGGAGAGCGTGCGGCGCCGGGAGTAGTGGTGGGACGACCCAGCGACTGGTAGGGCAGCGAGGGCCGAGCCGCGGGGGTGGAATCCAGACGTCGGGCGGGGGAGGGGGCGGTGGGACTGGGGGCGAGGGCCGCCAGGCGGCGCCGGAGACCACCAAACTTTACACGACCCGAGACTGCTTCCTGGAGGGAGTGCAGAAAGGAGCTGGAGCCTCGCCCGGCCTCGCCTCGCGGCCCGGGGGCAGGGGCGTCCGCCCACCCCCCTCCCCAGCACGCCTCCTGACCCCCCTGCTCCCGGCGGACACACGCGGCCCGCAGGCCCCGCCTGCCCCCTCCTTTCACCGCCGCCCGGGAGCTCCCCCCAACGCTGTCCCGGGACCCTCTTCCCGAGCCCGGCGGGACCCGCTCCCCGGCCCCTCCGGTCGCCCCGGGGTGAGGAGGCCCGGCGCGCACGGCGGCAGCTGGAGGGAGGCCGGCCCGGCGGGCACGGGGGAGGAGGGAGCGACGCGGACCGAGTTTCCCACCTTTCCTCCTGGCCCAGACGCAGCCGGGGCAGACGGAACCTCTCGCGCTCTGCCTCCTCCTCCTGCTTCATGGAGCCATGCACCTGGGTGGGGGCTCCCGAGAGAAGCGGGCCGCGGGCGGGCCAAACGCGCGGCGCGGACGGGGCGGGGCCAAGAAGGCCGGCGGGGGGCGGGCGGAGGAGGAAGCGGCGGGGCGGCGGTAGCGGTAGGAAAGAATTGCTAAAGGTATTCCCCGGGGCAGCTGGAGGACTGAGCCGAGCCGGGACCCGAGTCTTCCGGTATCCCAGCAGCCACCGGAGGCAGTGAGGTAATGGAGGAAGAATGTAGGGAGTCCTCCAGTGGTCCACACGCCCTCTAGCGAGTCGCCAAAACCATAGAGATTAGGGAGCCACCGGAGCACCACCCCGCTATTGTCACGTGGCCTGACTCCGCGCACTTTATTGGCTGGCGCCGACTCTACGGGATTGTATTTAGGAGGCTGCTTCCCAGTCTGCGGGCCGAGTCCCCGGCAGTTGGAATAAAGAATGCCAGGCAGTGAGGCACCGAGAGGAGGCTGGCCAGCTGGTTTCTCCCCCGACCCAGGTCACTGAGCGGGCCGAGCGGAGCGCCCGGCTGTCAGGCCGGCCGGCGCAGTGCACGCCGGGCCGCCTTGGCTTCTGCGAGCGAGCGCAGAGCGCGCCGGGAATTGTAGTGTGGCCGGCAGGGCGGCATTGTCCGCGACGCGGCCCAGGTGCCGGCTCGGGACGCCAGCCGGGGTGTCCCGGCCTCGCTGCTCCGCCCTCTCCCGCGTTAGGACCCAACACTCACCTGCCCACGGCTTTTCTTCCCGAGCGCTCACGCTCGCGCCGCTTACCCCGACCGGGCCGCAGCCTTCGAAAGCAGCCAGGAAGGCGCAGCTCAGACCAGCTTTAAATGCAGCTGACCCACTGGCTCCGGCCAGGCCTGCGGGGAGGTGTTCCAGGCTCGGCCTCCAGGCCAGCCTCCTCGTGGACGGGAAGGGGCAAACTACACCCGGGTGGTGCCAGGAGCCCACCTCTCTGACTTGACCCTGTGCGTCCCCAGCCTGGAGACGACTCAGGTGGAATTACCCACAGTACAGGCTTAATTCAATAGGTCGACTAAACACATCCCTCAGCACTATAGCAGGGCAAGAGCCTCAAACAGAGCACTACAAAAAAACTCAGTTTTTAAAAATTAGGAGTAAATCATTTTACTTTCAAATCCTTGCTATTTGATTTGACGACTTAACGTTTTTATTTTAATTACAGATGGATTTGCCCTGAAAGTCTTTTATTTCTGCCCTTCTCCCTCACCCTAACCACTCCAAACAAACCGTTTAGGCCCTGCAGTAAAGGCATGCCCTATTTTAAAGTATTGCCAGTCTTGTTAAGAACACACACTCAACCCCACGGTTCTGTTTATGCACAAAGGAATCCTTAACGTGTTTGTCTTCAAGGAGCAAAGAAAAGTACCTAGTAAAAAATGCAAATCATATCTAACAGTGAAGCTTTCCAGCAAAAACCTTCTGCTCTGGAATGCATAATGTACTAAAGCATAATAAGATCTACTACTACAAGACTTTTAGCATAATTACCTGTAGGCAGCAAACACCGAGAGTGACTGGTGCCTCTTGGACCTGGGACTCACAGAGAGCCTGGCAAAGCACAGCAGTGGAAGAAAGAGACAATGATGCCTTTTGCAGAACGGGAGGTCGATTTTTTTTTAAAGCCACCTATAGCAGTCTTCATAATTCCTGTCACAGTCTTGATGAGCTTATCTGCTGTTGAGGCCCACACTGGCCAGTTTCTAGCCTCTGTCGGCCTGAAAAACTACAAATTAGATGATCACATGGCCTAGAGCCAGAAATGCAGGAGGCAGCAAGCCAGAGTTCATTTGTTTGTTTCTGAATTAGAAGACCAAATCCTGACTTTAAATAATCAGAATAAATTTCACGTAGTGAAGGTCTTTCCAGCTCAAAGTCTTAAAACATGGCATCTGGAAAAGGGCCTTAGGCTATTGCTCCCAGGGTGGTACTGTGTTGTCATTAAACAGCCCACAGATAAGGGAGTTACTGCTCCCTGGTTATCAGGCTGCCAGGAGGTAAATGATGGAACCAAGTTGGATTTGAAACACTCTCAAAACAAAAACAAACCTTGCCTTGAGCTGTCAATGGCATTTTACTGAGAAGTAGGACCCAGACACTGCTGGTGTTGTTTACTGACGCCAAAAGGCAAAGGGTCAGGACTTTAAAAAGTCATTTTGGGGTCACCTCACATCAGCAGGCAACAGTGAACTGGTGCAAAAAGTAAACAGAGTGGGGGCTTCCCTGGTGGCGCAGTGGTTGAGAGTCCGCCTGCCGATGCAGGGAACCCGGGTTCGTGACCCGGTCCGGGAGGATCCCACGTGCCGCGGAGCGGCTGGGCCCGTGAGCCATGGCCGCTGAGCCTGCACGTCCAGAACCTGTGCTCCGCAACGGGAGAGGCCACAACAGTGAGACGCCCGCATATCGCAAAAAAACAAAAGAAACAAAAAAACAACAACAAAAACAAAAAACAGAGTGAACTTAGGAACAAGAGAAAGAAATGAAGGCAATTTATGCCATAAATATGGAAGGGGCTGGGTCTTATTTTCTCATTTTCTGTGCATAATACAGAAGCCTGGTACGTAGTAGACATACAATAATTATGTGTAGCCTGAATGATTAAGTGAAGAAGAAAGACAGCAAGCAGTGGGAAACTAATACAATTGGGAAAGGGGAACTGCAGGAGAGCTAAGTGACTCAAGCACTCTGCATGGTCCTGAAATGTCACCCCAATCCGCTGTGATACAGCTGTACCACTCCATCAAGATACCCCAAAACAAATCATCTGCCTCCCTGAAGCATAGCTTTCCATCATTTCTTACCTTGAATGCTTAAGAATATATGGTAATGGGAGGGCTTCCCTGGTGGCGCGGTGGTTAAGAATCTGCTTGCCAATGCAGGGGACAAGGGTTCGAGCCCTGGTCCAGGAAAAGCCCACATGCCGCGGAGCAACTAAGCCCGTGCGCCACAACTACTGAGCCTGCGTGCCAAAACTACTGAAGCCTGCGTGCCTAGAGTCCGAGCTCTGCAACAAGAGAAGCCACTGCACCACAACGAAGAGTAGCCCCCACTCGTCGCAACTACAGAAAGCCCACGTGCAGCAACGAAGACCCAACAACGAAGACCCAATGCAGCCATAAATAAATAAACTTACTTTTAAAAAACGAGAGAAAATGGAATCAGACTGCATGGTTTCAAATTCCAGCCCTGCCATGAATACCTGTGACCCGAGGGCAAGTTCGTATGTCAGTAAAATGGGGATTGTAGCAGTCCCTAACTCAGAGTTGTTATGAGATTTAAATAAGTTTATACATATAAAGCTATGATAAGGTTATCACGTCAAAAAATGCTGCGTAACTGTGAGCCTCATTAGTAGGGTGTTGAATAAGCATGAAATTAGCCTGCACACCAAACATATACATTCTCTTGGATGTGCACCTTGGATTGGCAATGCATTCATGCACCAAAGGCATTTACCAGCCTGTGGCAATGAAATAAGATTTCACAGGATATGTTGATAGGTGTTATAGATTTCATTTGTCCCATTTTCCAGACTGACGTGAGTCTGGTCTTGGTAGGAGATACAAAGTCTGCCTCTGTGCTCTGGCCTCCACAAAAGTGCCTGTCTCCTGTGTATCCTCCGCAGGATAAATCCGTTTGGACACTTAAAAGAGATGATGAATACTTACCTGATTAAAATAAATCTTTATCTGTATATACAAATGTCTACGTGAGTATTTCAGAAATGTGTAGTTTAAATAAACTGATTAGACTCACAGTATTTTGTTTGTGGTAGAGTTAAACCATATTACTCTGAGAAGATGTGTTTTTAGACTTTGTATGTCACTTGTGTACACAATTCATCAAAAAGTTTCTAAGCTTCTACTAGCATTATTGGTGGAATAAATGAAACCAAGTTGGAAAGCTCAAGTCACACATCCATTTGTCTTATAAGTACTTTTAATGTCTAGTCTGTACTGAGAATTTTGTACTGGTTTTTACTGAGAGATACGCATGTAGAATGCGCGACTCTTAAGTGTACAGCTCGGCGAATTCTTCCATTAGTGTACATGTGTGTAACCGCCATAAACTTAAGACGTAGAAATTTCCAGCAGCCCAGAATGCTTCCATGAGCCTCCGCCCAGGTATTAACCTCTCTTCAAAAGATAACCATTATTCTGACTGCTACCATCATGGAATAGTTTTGCTTGCTCATGAATGTCAGAGAAATGGCCTCGTACAGAATGGATTCTTTTGTGTCTAGTTTCTTTTGCTCGACATTATGTGCTAGGAGTTCATCCCTTTGGTTCTGTGCAGCTATAGTTCACTATTTTTCTTTGCTGCATAGACTACTATACCATTCAATACATATTGAATGAATATACCACAATTTGCCTCTCCAGCATTATTTTAAAACAACCTTGTCCCCTTCTCCAAGTCTAGCGATTTAAGATTTTTTACAAAATCTCCTGGTTTTTT